ATGACCTGGATGACTGAGAACCTTCACAGACATGATAAGTAATATGGCTGAATGTTGTTATAATTACATTGACCAGTTGGAAGTAATTTTATAATATACACACTGTGTGCTTTTGAGTGCATGTGTATGGAAAAGTCAGCAGCTACATGGACAATTCCAGAGGAGTTACTGACACACTTTCTGGTTCACTGAATAAAAATGTCCACACTGTCAATTTTACCCAAGCGAGAGGAAATCAGTGAGTTCACGAGTGTTGTTGAGCGTTTGATTCATGGCTTTAATAAGCTCCTTCGGTCTTTACACACCTGCATTATGCACAGATCGCAGCGTGATCAGATAGCACCGCTCTGCTGTGATGACAGTGATCCTTTCTACTAATAATTCTCTACTTTTTAAAAACGCTCCATCAGGTTGACCCTTAAAAAGCTCTTTATGTAAGAAGTTATTCACAGATTTATAACAGCGCTATGACTTACTGAGCCTTTCCTTTTAGACGCGCTGGAAACTCTGATGTCATAGTAGGAGAGCTGGTTAGTGTGTGTGCGCTCACTTAAATAAATTTATGGACAGCAATTTATTGATTTATTTATTTTTAAATGGGCAAGTAATAACTGGGATATGCTGACTGTGACTCAGGCTTGTTTAATGCTGTAATGGCTGAAGAAATATGTTGATTTTTAACCAGGGGGTTGTGCAGCTTTACGTCACACAGGCTAAAGGTGTTACTGATGTCATGCTAAGACTTTATCTCCTCATATTAATTATCTAAAGTGATTCAAATCTGTTGTTCACTCCATTTACTGTTTACGGTCAGACACACACTTACTCATTTTTCTAGGTGCAGACCAAATAATTACTATAATACATGAAATGTGTCTGCATGACTCCCGACTGTGCAGCAACCAAACTACAGCAGGTGTGCAGCTACACTGCAGAACTCAGAAGTAGGACGTAGCTTCAGAGACACCACACTGAAACACACCAGCAGGACTGCTGAGACCTTTGCTGCTGTTCTTGCAGCGGATGACGGGAAAAGGTAAAGTGGGGCTCTGGGAGTTCAAACATGGGGGCTGCTGTGGTTTTAGAGCAGTGTTTTAGTGAACTGCAGCGACACTGGCAGCTGTTAGGATATTTCTGTGACTGTAATTTACATGTACTCCCCTTTACAGACTGCATCCATTCATTTTTCCTCCTTATTTAGAAGCTTTGTAAAAGAAGAAGATCCTGCTACAGTCAGTCACATCAGAAATGGAGACAAGCGAGCATTACTGCGTGCTGACAAAGTGCATAATAATTCAAACTAAGGCAGAGCATTTAGATGCACTAAACTTCTTTCTTTTTGCACTTAGTTTAAAACAATTATTCACTTTACATCAAACTCGTTTTCCTTGTAACTCCATTACGCCTCCATACCGATACCTCCGCTGCAGAAATGTATTTATCCAGAGCTTTAGTCAAACACTGAACCAAAAACTGGGTGCAAACACAAACGTCAGCAAGCATCTGCCCTGCTCAAAGATCCCTGAGTGGATCCATCACCCACAGTCACAGGTTACTGCACTCTAGCCTCAGCATGAACGTGGAGGCATAA